GTGCCTTCTTTAAAAAGAGAATTACAACCATGTTACAACAAGCATTGATAAACAAGTGTTCTGTTTTCAGTTAATTTATACCCCAAACTGGCAACGTATCCTGTGGGATACAAACTTTAAAATCAAAATGAAAAGTCATGTTTTGAAAAAAATTATCAAGTTGTATTATTTGTGTCCCAATAAGATGGAAAATAGCAATAAATTAATTTTCTGATGTCTCTTTATGGTCTTGCCATTTTTAGGGTTAAACTTACCATTGACAGAAACAGTCAGCTCTACTTTCTTTTCTTTTGCATTTAAATCTTCTTTACAGCCAATCCTGCGGTTCATAAAGAACTTTGTTTTCCTTCCTCCACGAATGCCATCTATTATTGCCTTCTTTATCTAAAAGTGCTCTTTTCCTTTAAACCTAGCCAAAAAGCCATATGTGTTGACTGTGAAACACAGTAGACTTTAACTATTTGCATTTATGGTGTAATCACTACATTTTAGTGTCAATCCATGTTCATATTTTCCGCAAACAATGTGCTGTCACTTAATTCAGCGCGTGCAACGGAAACGATCTCTGCACTGCTGCAGATGCACCGCTCCTGGATGCACTGCCGGACACAACGTGTGCAGTGTGAACGCTTTAATCCGTTAACATGAACGCATACGCACTGCAAACGAACTTATCCTGGCATTATGTGTTTGCGTTTAGAGTGTGCATGAGCGCTCAGTCTCCAGGAGAGCGTGCGAGTGCTGAACAGTTTAAACACTGGCAAGTATTAAAAAGAAATGCAATTTATAAACTTTAGTGACGATGCAACACTGCCTCGATTGTGCAAGTGACAATTCCTGTGTCGACCGTGCAGCTCGCTTATAGACAGATGCGATGTGATTTTGAAGCCATTTGCGCATTTTGAGAGCGAAAGAGAGAGCACGCAGAAAGTTTCACAGAAAGTGTTCAAATTACTGTATACGTTATTCAATGAAGAAATATGAATTGTACTTTGCCTTTAGCATTATTATTATTTTACCTGCGCCGGACAGAGATTGAGATGGTGCTGCTGCAGTAGCTAAACTCTTGACGTTGCTGATTTGAATGTGAGAACTTAACTTTAATATTCGTATTTGTAAGTTGAAATTTACACTCACAACAGCTCTGATGTGAAAAGTTGAATCTTTCGATTTGTGCACACATAGTTACAAATGTGTAAAGTGGCTTTCACATAAAATGACAGACACAAATGTGTACGAAACATTTACTTTTGCACTTTACTTTAGTTTTGCTGTACAACCTCAAGTCGCACTTACAACCTCTCAGATCTGGCAGTACAACTTCAAATCCTAGAGCTTTGACTTTTGCTATTCCTGTAGCAAAACTCACTTGCGCACTTGAGAATGCAGACGTGAGAGACCAGAGCTGGGGTGTGAATAACAGGAGGTGCTTGCAATACAAAGTTTCAGGCATTGTTCAGATTAGTACAAGCTAGACAGGGAGAAATTAAGGAAGGTGAAAGCAAAGTTGTTGTTTTTTTAAGATTAAGTCAAATGGTGACGAAAGAGATGAGTTTTCAGGTGTCTCTTGAAAATGGTCAGGGATTCAGAAGACAAGAAGCTCAGTCTTTGCCAGGTTGTGCTGTAGGTGATGATTTTTCATCCATGTCCGCCGGGCAGCCTGAGATCCGTGCAGCTACCGCTGGATCATCTGGTTGAAATGAGAGATAGAGCTGTGTGTCATCAGCATAGCAATGGTAGGAGAAGTCATGTGCCTGTATGATGGGACCCAGTGATGTAGTGTATATGGAGAAGAGGAGCGGTCCAAGAACTGATCCCTGAGGAACCCCAGTGACAAGTTGATGAGCTTTGGATACCTCCCCTCCCCAAGACACCCTGAAAGACCTACCAGTGAGATAGGATTCTAACCAGCGAAGTGGAGCTCCTGTGATGCCCATTGAAGAGAGGGCAGACAGGAGGATCTGATGATCGACAGTGTCAAAAGCAGCAGATAGATCCAGCAGAATAACACCTGAGGATTTGGAATCAGCTTTTGCAATCCGCAAGGCTTCAGTGACTGACAGTAGCGCAGTCTCATTTGAATGGCCACTTCTGAAACCTGACTGGTTAGCGTCCAGTTGGTTATTCTGTGAAAGAAATGACGATACCTGGTTGAAAACAACTCGTTCAAGCAGGCCCGTAGCCAGCTATGAGGTTACCGAGGTCTGGACCTCAGTAAATTTTTCAGGTTTAAAAATAAATTTTGTTCTCTGAATGACTAATTTGCTGTTAAAACGCCTCATACGAATGTCTGCATGGTTAATTAAAGGGTTAGCTCACAAAACCCTAAGAATTCACAACATTTTATTATAATAGTGCTCTCATTATAACTTTATGTAGGCCTATATGACAGTAGTTATTAATGTTTTGCATTTCTGTTATGAGCTGTGCACGCTGAAGATGACCAGTAGAATGAAACATTTGATGTCAGGTTTTTAATCAATGGGATTTAACTCATCATTTATCTCATATAGAATACGCTTCATTATTTATACAACATAACGTTAATATTACAACTATCTGCACAAAATGCCCCGAATGCACATGAACATTTCTGCACGGCTCTGAATGAACTCCTTTTGTGGAAGCGTTCTTCACGCAACAACGTGCAGAAACACAGCAACTAAACTCTAAAAAATCACAGCGTTTTATTACAATAGTGTTCTCATTATAATGTTATGTGTATGACTGTCCCAGTTATTAAAAACCTTGCTATGTGTACTGCATTAAGCTAACTGAGACTTGTTATAGCACTTGCATATCATTGCTCTTTTGTTGATTTTGATTGATTCCATTGTCCTCATTTGTAAGTCGCTTTAGATAAAAGCATCTGCTAAATGACTAAAAAGTAGTCAAATAAAGCATGCAAATCCATGTAATAAATAAAACTTGCCTCACATGGCTCCGGGAGGTGAAAAAGGCCTCCTGTAGCGAATCGATGCATTTTTGTTAGAAAAATATCCATATTTAAAATGTTACAAATCATTTTTTCTCACTTCTGCTGACTGTCATACATGCAAGCCGTTCCGGGCGGATGACATAGGATGCATGTTGCCAGATCCGATTATAAGCGGTTTTTGAACTTGTATTTTTCACTTAATTTGACACTTTAGAAAGTTAATCAAGTAGGACGTTTAGGGTCATTGATATCTTTATCTTATCTGCAAAAACAATTTGGTTTATTTTTATTTTTGTTTTAATAGCAATATCAGGCAACCCTGCATCGCCGACACTTAAACTGACTGTAGGAGCCAAATGTAATTTTTAACCACTTAGATGGCGGTGTGGAATGGGAGGAGTTGGTGTATGTCATATGACATTTAAACCCTCATGGTTGTGTGTGTGGAGAGGGTAACAGGTGGCGGGAATACATGGTTCTTACCATATCCTAAGATCCATTGAATGAACAAAGCAAGAAACTGATAGTGGCATGCCAACTCCTCCCATTCCACACCGCCATCTAGTGGTTAAAAATTACATTTGGCTCTTACACTGACAGTAATCAAAAAGCCCTTGGACAGGTTATTTCTGACAGGATAGACATTCAGTAAGGCAAACGCAAAAAACATCATGATATTATCTGTCAGAAACATCAACACTGTCAAAAACAGTAGCATTTAACACTAGTGCACAGATCTGTAGAACAAGTAGGTTACAGAATGAAATGAATTACGCAAACACTAGCCATGGTGAAGTCTATGCAATTTCATTCAGTATAGTAGTTACATTTTCACAAATCATGCTATAAACATTCATAAGAGCACTAGTGGATGATTTGAGGTCCTGTGTGTGTGGAGCGGAGAACCGACCACTGATTGTTCTAGTTGTGTCTGTGAAGAATGTGGCAAAGTCATTGGCTGTTAAGGAGGTGGCGGAGGGGAACAGAAGAGAGAATTGAATGTTTTGAAGAGATTACGTGTGTCAGAAGCGCTGTTGATCTTGTTGTGGAAGTATGAAGATTTGGCAGTATGGACTTGAGCAGAGAAAGATAAAAGCAAAAAACAGATTTTGGATTTGTGCCATTTTCTCTCTGCTGCCCCGAGTTTGGTCTGACGCTCACGAAGAACATCGGATAACCAAGGGTTAGAAGGAGCAGCCCGTGCTGGCCTGGAGGAGAGAGGACAAATATCATCTAGACAAGAGGTTAAAATAGAGCATAAAGTGTCAGTTGCTGCATTCACATCCAGTGATGAGAAATGGGTGGGTGAGGGAAGAGAGGAGGACACTACAGAGGAAAGATGGGAGGGTGAAAGGGAGCGTAGGTTTCGTCTAAAAGTAACAGATATAGGGGTTGGTGGCACACAGGTAGCAAAATGTAGTTTAAATGTAATGAAGAAATGATCAGAGATATGTAGGGGTTTTACCAGAATGTTGACTGCAATACAATTGCGTGTGTAAATTAAGTCAAGTTGGTTGCCTGATTTGTGAGTGCTTGTGGTGGTAAGGCGTTTGAAATCAAATGAAGCTAAGATTGAATGGAAATCTGCAGCATAAGGCTTGTCCAAATGAATATTGAAGTCGCCAACGACTATAAGTGGACTGCCATTCTCTGGGAATGAGGACAGCAGCCCATCCAGCTCTTCTTCTCACCATCATGGCAGACGGCAACGGGCTCTGGCCTCAGGCGAAACGGCGTTGACTCCTCTGCTCCCTAACGGATGGCAGCCGTCCCTCCACAACCCAGGTGGCCAGCAGCGAGTTCGTCCGTCCCCCCGGCAACTCACTCCAGCCCACCCCCTTGAGCGTCCACGGTGGCAGACTGCTCTGCCATGCTCGATGGCACAGCGGATTCACCACAGCAATGAGGGATCCCTGGCAGTGTCACTCCTTCCTCCCGGGTTTCGGCACCAATGTAACAAAGTTCGCAGCTCGGGGAAGAAGGAGGCGGGAACCGGTGAACATTTAACCACAATTTTAATAAACAAACACTGAAAATAGCGAAACAGCCCCTCACGGACAACTGCCTCGCACAAACAGAACCAAAACAACATAAATAATCCAGGCCTGGTCCTCTCTCGTCCGTCACTGTCGTTACTCCTCCTTTTATCCTTCCGGAGCTCCTCCGTGGCACTCGAGACCGGTGAGTGGCGCAGGTGTCGCTCAATATCAATTACTCCCTCCCCACTCGTCACAATGATTATCTGTCTGCTAAATTACTACTATAACTTTACAATAGATAAAAATGATGTTGTCACATGTATGCCTTGGTTTCTGTGTATTTTTGGTTCTTGCCATTGTGACCTAGTTTTCCTGTGTTGCCCGATTATGTCATTCTGTTCACCTGTGTCTTGTTAATTATCTCATTAGTTCCAGTGTTTAAATACTCTTAGTTTCCTTCTAGTCGCTGGCCGTCTCAGTTTAGGCTACTAAATGATATGTCAATCAGTTATTATATATAATCAGCATTATTCATATAGTTTATTTATTACCTGGAGATAACTTGAACGTTTTTTCTGCTTTTTATTCAACTCTGCTACAGCGATAGCCGGATGTTTTTGTCCATATTAAGGATTTCCTGTACGTCATAAGTCATTCCTTCTATGAGTCTGTTTTGGACTTTCTGCACGAGAGCGCCCTCTGGCTTCGAGTATGAATTAAACATACAATGCATCCAGATATTCACTTCTCCTCAATTTGGATACAAATAAAACATCAGGTCATGCATAGACTATCGATAATGTCTCTTTAAATTTAAATCTAGATGTAAATCTAGAAACCTCTACGTGAACACACCTGCCCGAATAAAGTGCGGGGGACGAATTTACATTTCACTAAAATTAAATATTAAAAATGCAGCTAGCGTTCTACACACAGCAATATAAACAAAGGTGCCTGTTCTCTTTCCTTCTTGCTGTTTGATTGGGAAACGTTTAAAGGGCGTCGAGGGGTCTTATCTTTATGTTATCTGACTAAAAACTAATACTTTGAACTTATATTATTACATTATTTATTAAAAAAACTTAGAGTGCCTTAAAAATAATTATCACAACACTGATAAAACAGGCGTATACTGATTTTCTCATCTTCCGATTTATACTTATCAATCCTGTTTTTATTATCATTATCATTCAAAAAAATTAATAAATTCAGAACAGGATTAGAATATAATTCTATTTTAAATAAGACAGAAATATTTTTTCTACAACAACAGCAAAACCACCCTACCCTGTAAACTCAATAATAATAATAATAATAATAGGTCTAATATAATTCTGTTTCTAATTCCAGAGTGATTAAGAGGTGCAAAGAAAAATTTCTTTAACTTTTAAACTTGGTCTAAAATGGTCTTAAATGGTCTTTTCTGTTCTGTGTTTCTTTTTCAAAACTGCGTCACAGCATTTTCTGCTTTCAATACAGAAGCATCCGTTTCAATACATGTCTCAGCAAGGAGCACAGCCCTATTAAAAGCTATGCTCCATGGGCCCCTTTTATACTTTGAGCACCTGCCCCTCCAAAGGTCTCTGCACGGCCCTGGTTCTTGGTCTAAATAAACGCAATTCTTGTCAAGAAAAAAAGAGACAGAAGCAGCAGTTGTGAGTGGGGTGGCCCACACTAGCTCCTCCCCACATGAATTGCGTTAAATATTGTTCATGCATTAAACTGAAAATATTAATCACATGAGTTAACACATTAATTTTGACAGCACTACGTTTTAAATAAATTCATTCTTGATTAGCATAAGAAACAATAAAAAACTTTTAAAAAAATCTTACTGATCTTAAACTTTTGAACGGTAGTGTAATTATTCCCTTGTGTTATGCTATTCACCATAACTACTTTCATCTTCATTATTGTGGACTGTGCAAAAATGACAAATCGTCTTTCATGCACAGGGAAAATTTTTTTTTATGAAAATAAATAATCTGGAAGGAGGGTATTATATTAGTTTTTTTTCTCACTTCACTAACATGCCAAAACTGATGCCATTGCTTACATATTTGCTAATGTTGTGTATTATATGTTTATAGGTGGTCTATTTGACAGCTACCAAGATGAGTAGAAAAACACTGATAATTGCAGTGTTAAGTTTAGGTCTGTAAGTTCCTGATCATCCAAATTCTTTATTTCTCTTATTACTTATTTACATGTGAAAATTGCTCTAAAATTGCGCTGTACTTTGTTTTTTTGAAAACAGTGTTTTGTAGCACATCAGCTGATTCAGCAAACTCACCCACAACAGCAACAACTGAATCTATGACTGTTACATCATACTCAGCTGCACAAACGACACAATTCTGCGTAGAACTGACACAACAGCACATAGAATACTGCTCAACAACAACTGAAACTCTGTTTACAACCACTGCCAAAACGACACAAACACCTGAATCAACAAACTCACCTACAACTGCAACAATTGAACCTACGACTGTTAGAGTAAACACAGCTACAACTACATCTCAGCTTACAACTACTGCCCCTCCTACAGAAACAACAACAACACAACTTACATCTACAGCAGAACCAACAACCACAACTGTTTTAACATCTACAGCAGAACCAACAACCACAACTGTTTTAACATCTACAGCAGAACCAACAACCACAACTGTTTTAACATCTACAGCAGAACCAACAACCACAACTGTTTTAACATCTACAGCAGAACCAACAACCACAACTGTTTTAACATCTACAGCAGAACCAACAACCACAACTGTTTTAACATCTACAGCAGAACCAACAACCACAACTGTTTTAACATCTACAGCAGAACCAACAACCACAACTGTTTTAACATCTACAGCAGAACCAACAACCACAACTGTTTTAACATCTACAGCAGAACCAACAACCACAACTGTTTTAACATCTACAGCAGAACCAACAACCACAACTGTTTTAACATCTACAGCAGAACCAACAACCACAACTGTTTTAACATCTACAGCAGAACCAACAACCACAACTGTTTTAACATCTACAGCAGAACCAACAACCACAACTGTTTTAACATCTACAGCAGAACCAACAACCACAACTGTTTTAACATCTACAGCAGAACCAACAACCACAACTGTTTTAACATCTACAGCAGAACCAACAACCACAACTGTTTTAACATCTACAGCAGAACCAACAACCACAACTGTTTTAACATCTACAGCAGAACCAACAACCACAACTGTTTTAACATCTACAGCAGAACCAACAACCACAACTGTTTTAACATCTACAGCAGAACCAACAACCACAACTGTTTTAACATCTACAGCAGAACCAACAACCACAACTGTTTTAACATCTACAACAGAACAATCAACTACATCGGAACAAAGCACAACAACACAGACAGCAACAACATCCCTACCTACAACAAGTACAGCTCAATCTACAACCCTGGTTACAACAACCTCACCTACAATTACATCTCAGCTTACAACTACTACCCCTCCTACAGAAACAACAACACAACTTACATCTACGGCGGAAACAACAACCACAACTGTTTTAACATCTACAGCAGAACCAACAACCACAACTGTTTTAACATCAACAGCAGAAGCAACAACCACACCTGTTTTAACATCTACAACTGTACCAACAACCACAACTGTTTTAACATCAACAGCAGAAGCAACAACCACACCTGTTTTAACATCTACAACTGTACCAACAACCACAACTGTTTTAACATCAACAGCAGAAGCAACAACCACACCTGTTTTAACATCTACAACTGTACCAACAACCACAACTGTTTTAACATCAACAGCAGAAGCAACAACCACACCTGTTTTAACATCTACAACTGTACCAACAACCACAACTGTTTTAACATCAACAGCAGAAGCAACAACCACACCTGTTTTAACATCTACAACTGTACCAACAACCACAACTGTTTTAACATCAACAGCAGAAGCAACAACCACACCTGTTTTAACATCTACAACTGTACCAACAACCACAACTGTTTTAACATCAACAGCAGAAGCAACAACCACACCTGTTTTAACATCTACAACTGTACCAACAACCACAACTGTTTTAACATCAACAGCAGAAGCAACAACCACACCTGTTTTAACATCTACAACTGTACCAACAACCACAACTGTTTTAACATCAACAGCAGAAGCAACAACCACACCTGTTTTAACATCTACAACTGTACCAACAACCACAACTGTTTTAACATCAACAGCAGAAGCAACAACCACACCTGTTTTAACATCTACAACTGTACCAACAACCACAACTGTTTTAACATCAACAGCAGAAGCAACAACCACACCTGTTTTAACATCTACAACTGTACCAACAACCACAACTGTTTTAACATCAACAGCAGAAGCAACAACCACACCTGTTTTAACATCTACAACTGTACCAACAACCACAACTGTTTTAACATCAACAGCAGAAGCAACAACCACACCTGTTTTAACATCTACAACTGTACCAACAACCACAACTGTTTTAACATCAACAGCAGAAGCAACAACCACACCTGTTTTAACATCTACAACTGTACCAACAACCACAACTGTTTTAACATCAACAGCAGAAGCAACAACCACACCTGTTTTAACATCTACAACTGTACCAACAACCACAACTGTTTTAACATCAACAGCAGAAGCAACAACCACACCTGTTTTAACATCTACAACTGTACCAACAACCACAACTGTTTTAACATCAACAGCAGAAGCAACAACCACACCTGTTTTAACATCTACAACTGTACCAACAACCACAACTGTTTTAACATCAACAGCAGAAGCAACAACCACACCTGTTTTAACATCTACAACTGTACCAACAACCACAACTGTTTTAACATCAACAGCAGAAGCAACAACCACACCTGTTTTAACATCTACAACTGTACCAACAACCACAACTGTTTTAACATCAACAGCAGAAGCAACAACCACACCTGTTTTAACATCTACAACTGTACCAACAACCACAACTGTTTTAACATCAACAGCAGAAGCAACAACCACACCTGTTTTAACATCTACAACTGTACCAACAACCACAACTGTTTTAACATCAACAGCAGAAGCAACAACCACACCTGTTTTAACATCTACAACTGTACCAACAACCACAACTGTTTTAACATCAACAGCAGAAGCAACAACCACACCTGTTTTAACATCTACAACTGTACCAACAACCACAACTGTTTTAACATCAACAGCAGAAGCAACAACCACACCTGTTTTAACATCTACAACTGTACCAACAACCACAACTGTTTTAACATCAACAGCAGAAGCAACAACCACACCTGTTTTAACATCTACAACTGTACCAACAACCACAACTGTTTTAACATCAACAGCAGAAGCAACAACCACACCTGTTTTAACATCTACAACTGTACCAACAACCACAACTGTTTTAACATCAACAGCAGAAGCAACAACCACACCTGTTTTAACATCTACAACTGTACCAACAACCACAACTGTTTTAACATCAACAGCAGAAGCAACAACCACACCTGTTTTAACATCTACAACTGTACCAACAACCACAACTGTTTTAACATCAACAGCAGAAGCAACAACCACACCTGTTTTAACATCTACAACTGTACCAACAACCACAACTGTTTTAACATCAACAGCAGAAGCAACAACCACACCTGTTTTAACATCTACAACTGTACCAACAACCACAACTGTTTTAACATCAACAGCAGAAGCAACAACCACACCTGTTTTAACATCTACAACTGTACCAACAACCACAACTGTTTTAACATCAACAGCAGAAGCAACAACCACACCTGTTTTAACATCTACAACTGTACCAACAACCACAACTGTTTTAACATCAACAGCAGAAGCAACAACCACACCTGTTTTAACATCTACAACTGTACCAACAACCACAACTGTTTTAACATCAACAGCAGAAGCAACAACCACACCTGTTTTAACATCTACAACTGTACCAACAACCACAACTGTTTTAACATCAACAGCAGAAGCAACAACCACACCTGTTTTAACATCTACAACTGTACCAACAACCACAACTGTTTTAACATCAACAGCAGAAGCAACAACCACACCTGTTTTAACATCTACAACTGTACCAACAACCACAACTGTTTTAACATCAACAGCAGAAGCAACAACCACACCTGTTTTAACATCTACAACTGTACCAACAACCACAACTGTTTTAACATCAACAGCAGAAGCAACAACCACACCTGTTTTAACATCTACAACTGTACCAACAACCACAACTGTTTTAACATCTACAGCTGAACCAACAACCACAACTGTTTTAACATCTACAGCAGAAGCAACAACCACACCTGTTTTAACATCTACAACTGTACCAACAACCACAACTGTTTTAACATCTACAACTGAACCAACAACCACAACTGTTTTAACATCTACAACTGAACCAACAACCACAACTGTTTTAACATCTACAACTGAACCAACAACCACAACTGTTTTAACATCTACA